GTATCTGGGACTACAGGCACGCGCCACCACGCCTGGCTAACTATTTTCTATTTTTAGTTGTTTGGCTAATTTCTTTCTAATTTTAGTAGAGACGGGGGTCTCACTCTTGCTCAGGCTGGTCTTGAACTCCTGACCTCGAGCGATCCACCCGCCTCGGCCTCCCAGAGTGCTAGGATTACAGGCATGAGCCACCGTGCCTGGCCTAGGAATGAGATTTATTAATCTGTGAGAGTTTCTGAACTCCTTCATTCAGTCTCCCTATCACCTGCTAAAGAGGATTTGCTTTTTGCCCTGTCTAATTCTTCCCTTCCCCAGGCCTATATAGAAATTTTTGTCTTTCCCAAACCAATTCTGAAGTGATTTCAAGAGACAGAGCATAGCCCAGATAAAATAAAGAAAGTGCAGAGAGGCCAAGTAGACCCAGATAATCCAGAAGCAGGAGGGAGGACGAGCAGACAGTGTGGGTGTTGGGTGTTGGGGAAACCTTAAGGTGGTGCAGACTGGACACAGGAGGAGCTGGAGAATGAGCAGGCAACCAAGGTTTGGGTTGGAGAAGGAACAGCTGCGCTGTGGTTCCTGAATTGAAGTTCCATTACTGTTACTGGAGTGATGGGACAAGTAGAGATGGACTCTTGTAGTTGGCCTGTGCCAAGCCTGCGTTGTGGGTTGGAGAGCAACTGCTTTTATATTTTTATATTGTAGTTTTTCATACGTTCATTTTATTTCTGATTACGATATAAGATACCAATTATAGAAATTTCTACTTCTGGGCTATCTAACATATATGGTAAATCCACCTAACAAAGAATGTATTCATATATTATAGTTGCTTTTACCCACTCAATATATTATTGTCTTCCCTTATAATTAAATGTAGTTCAACTTTTTCAAAATAGCTGTACATACCAAAGTCTAGTAATTTTTTTTGGCCATATAGGCTGTTTCTAAAAGTTCGTAATCATAAATAGCACTAATATGAATACTGTTACAATGCAGTCTTTGCATCTTTATTTCCTTAGACCATATTCTGAGGAGGGGATTTATTGGCTTGAAAGGTGTAAGAATTTGCAAGGGTTTTGAATGAAATAAGCAATTTATTACTGTACAGTTTAGTTTTAAATTATGTACTACTACTTTTACCACTGTTTAATTCTGTGCATTTCAGTAGAAATTTTTAACGTTTTCAAAGCAGTTTGACATTGATTATATCCCTTGATTTCACACAGTAAAGTGTGAAAAACTTTCACTCAATTTAAAACTGTTCAAAATAGCTTTCGTGTTTCAGGAGGCAGAATCAGAGCTAAAATTTAAAGGGATTTTTGAAAAAGGGGTATGGTTTTCCTGAATATGCATTTAAATATTAGTATGAATCCTGCATCTGTTCCATTTCAGAGAAAGTGAGCTCTTGGCATCACATTCCCTTATCCTGTCTTCCCCATCCCTCATTTCCAAGTCAATCATGGTAATATTCAGAGCATGATGAAAACACACTGACTCTCTTTGTCCTTCCCAAGTAAAATCCTCATTAGTCTCTAGGGTAAAAAGTTAATAATTCATTGTACTCACCCACCACAAATGTCTGGTTAAGGGTTTTGTATACACAGTGGGTTGGGGTGGGGGACTGTAAGGCCCAGTCATTCTCATTTATGAAATACTTAGTCTAAATTTCTTCTTCATAATGGGTTTCTCCCATTAGCAATAGTAGTGTAATTGCCATCACATAATAAAGACCTTTGGCTCATATAAGAATGAATCTGGAGCTGTGTGCTTGGAAATCTCAGTTGATAAGCCATCTCATAATGATACTTTGGGCCTTCTAAAAGATTTTTAATGGGCTCTCTATGCCAGGAGTCATAAACTCAGATGCCTCCACGGGGCAGGTGGGTTATGTAAGAGAGCAATTCAGGCTAGCTATCAGAAAAGCAATGATTAATAGCAGCTCACTTTGGGCTTTGTGTCAGGGATGAAGTAGTGAGCGGTGGGGACTGAAGCCAAATGCAGAGTATTTGTTCTGTGTGTGAGAGAAGGCACTACAGCAGCTGTAGACAAGTGGGAAAGTGGGCCTAGCACAGTCAGATTTTCTTTTTTTTTTTTTTCGAGACAGAGTCTCGCCCTGTCACCTGGGCTAGAGTGCTGTGGCATCAGCCTAGCTCACAGCAACCTCAAATTCTTGGGCTCAAGCGATTCTCCTGCCTCACCCTCCTGAGTAGCTGGGACTACAGGCACACGCCACCACGCCCAGCTAATTTTTCTATTTTTAGTGAGACTGGGTCTCACTCTTGCTCAGGCTGGTCTTGAACTCCTGAGCTCAAGCGATCCTCCTGCCTCGGCCACCCAGAGTGCTGGGATTACAAGCATGAGCCACCGCGCCCACCCTGTGAGATTTTCTTTTTCCAGGAAAAGCAAGAAATCCCAAGTTTTATCAATTTTTTCTTTTAACACTTAGGGATTCAAGTAAAAGTTTTTAAAAATACTGTCCAGGCCAAACAAAAATGTAACTGTAGACTGAATCTGGCCCATGGGGGCCATTGTGTAGCCTCTACTCCTACATTCATCTATCATGGTGGCTTTTATGAGGATGTAAATAAGTCCTTAGAGTTAAGAAAATACAACCTACTGGGTACTAGAGCCCAGGATGTATGGAAGCTAAGCACCACCCCTCCAAAAGCAGTTTTAATCTTCAAAATTGTGGGCTCCTAATGAGATAGACTGACTAGTATGGTGGAAGTCAAACTGCCTCGGTGTGATTTTTAGCTCCACCATTTTCTGACCTCTGTGCCTAGGTTTCTTCATTTGAGAAATGAATTAATAGTATATCCTTCATAACATTATGAGGATTAAATGAGACAATTTAGACAAAGTGCTTGGTAAGTACATAATAGTTGTTTTTACTCCTCTTTCTTTTTTTCCCCTTCTTCCTCCTTTTGCTGTTCCTATTGCTGAGCTGGTCTCCCTTTTCTCCCCATGTTTTAGGTTTCTGAGCCCCTTCAACATGATCCTTGGAGGAATTGTGGTGGTGCTGGTATTCACGGGGTTTGTGTGGGCAGCCCACAATAAAGATATCCTCCGCCAGATGAAGAAGCGATACCCCACGGCGTTCGTCATGGTGGTCATGTTGGCTAGCTATTTCCTCATATCCATGTTTGGCGGAGTCATGGTCTTTGTGTTTGGCATCACTTTTCCTTTGCTGT